GAGAATAGGGTTAAAAATGTTTCGGCAACTGATCGTGATACACTATAATAGTATAAAAATCCAATCAAAGAATATCATGTATCAAAATGTGTAGCCGGAAATTAATCCTTCTCATGCCTTAGAATGAAATGGAATTTGTTGCCTTTCTACTATCTGTTGCCAAACTCCTCCTCCCACCCCAAAATAAATATTTTTTAAAAAAGAAAGCTGGGTATCCCAGGCACTTATGCAACCATGAATACAAAATGTTTCCTACCCAGTAGTCTTCAATGTATTATAAAGGAATAGCGCTTGGAGCACTTGGAGCTTGGAACCAAAAGGGAAAGACCAGCGTGTAGCGGTGTTTAATGTATGGCTAAAGGAATGGTGTAAAAGGGAAGGCTTTGGTTTTATTAATCATGATGTCTGCAGCTGGTCCAATGAAAAACTGTACAAAAGAGATGGTCTGCATCCATCAAAGAAAGGGACTGAGTTACTTGGCATTAAATTCAGATTTTCTGGATAAACATTTAAACTGAACAGCGGGGACACAGAATTAATGGATACAGAACATTTCTGTCCCCAGAATACCTTATGCCACCAGACTCGAAATTCTAAACCTAGAAAACCTAGAACTACGCTGCCTTCAGTCCGATCTAAGTATAGTACAGGTATCTAAAATAATACATTGCAATGACTTACCTGTCAATGAATACTTCAGCTTCAACCATAACAACGCAAGAGCACACAATAGATACAAACTCAAGGTTAATCGCACCAAATTTGATTGCAGAAAATACGACTTCAGCAACAGAGTGGTCAGTGTCTGGAATACTCTACCTGACTCTGTGGTTTCTTCTCCAAACCCCAAAAACTTTAACCTTAGACTGTCTACTATTGACCTCACCCCTTTCCTAAGAGGTCTGTAGGGGGCGTGCATAAGAGCACCAATGTGTCTACCATCCCTGTCCTATTGTTTCTTTTATTTATTTTTATTTTTCAATAATATGAATGTTAATGGTCTAGTAATAACAATCTCCAAACTTCTAAGAACTGTCAGCTGAGCTGAGTATCCAAAGCCATATTGGCTAGCAATTCTGCAAGTTATGATTTCTTTACATCCAGAGCTTGTTTTTACTGATTTTCCTCTTATTGACCTCTAATAATCTATGTTTACATATTTGGATATACAGAGATGCATGTGTATAATATTTATATAGTCATAGCGGGAGAAATGGTCAGAATGAAATTGGGAATATACTACATGTTCTTAAAGTGGAGCTTTTCCCTAGAATAAAACATATTACTTTTAACATTTGAGCTGTATAAATATGTTTCTGCAAATAAACAAAGGAAAATTTGTATGCTCAATTAAGATAGTGAATTTCCATCACTGGATGAAGGCAGTTAACAAAATATAAATATAAATCAATCTAAAACCCACTACATCATATGACATTGCATCGCACAATACTATATAGTTCTATATATCCTGTAACAGTATATCTCAGAGCAGGAAATAAAGCGTTTTGTGAATTAAAAAAATAAACATAAGATATGAATCATAAAACCAGTAAAATCTAGTAAATGTGAAATTTATTCTACTTGTTGCATCTTTTCCTACAGCCCAGGCTACTCTCCAAATTTCACCTCTTGAGTTGTCATAAATTTGGGTTAAAATATTTGAGCAATGGGCTATCAGTAATGAAATCGCTCTGGATAACCACACCTGTATGAACTAATTTTATTTGTTTTCTACTATCAACTGATTTCAAAATCATTTTAATCTTTCCTGTTCTTGATTTGTGCTGTTACTGAAAACAACAACTGAGGGACTGATTCTCCCCAATTATACCTGCTTGTGTCATAATACCTGGCAGAATAGATATGCTACAGGACTCCCCTGTAAGGGAAATATACTTGGTGGGTCCCAGTAGGAAGGTCTTCTCTGCTCTGGGGCTTGCCTTATGGCACATTCTATCCCCCGAAGTTAGGTTAGTTCCATCCCTATTAAGTCCTTCAAGACCTGGCTAACATGTAATTTCTTTTTGCATTGTGGTTTTTAAATATTTTTTAATAACATTTTAATTTTTTTATTTTTAGATTAGTAGCTTTATTAATTGCTACCCAGAGTAACTTTTTTTGAGTCTGGTGTCTTATAAATTTGATAAATAAAAGTTATAGCTTGTTCCTAAATCCTTACAAGAAGTCCTTATTCTTTTTGTCTCGCTTCCTGCTTCTGTTAAGTAAAGCAGTTTATGAAATGCCCCCCCAAAAGTGTAAGGCTTCTATTGTTCAGTCATATCTTCCATTTTGAAGCCAATGACTGCTATTATAGATACCCACAATCTTTGCACATTCTGAAGAATATTTTATGCCTTCAAATTCAAAAGCTGCCCAGCCCTGATCATTTGGTAGCAATTTTGTGAGGAATTATAGGTTCTCATTGTTTTGAGAGGGATACAAATAATTTCACTGATTTCATGTAATCAAAATGGTACTGTTTCTTAAGGACTACATATATTTTGGGGGGATGTTGCCATTCTAATCCTGCAGGTCTTCCAACAGTGCACCATGGTAACTGTAATTAAGTCCATCTACTATTTCTTTCTTTTTCTTCCATTTTTGTCAGCATTACATTTACAAAGGGGGCAAAGTCGTCACATGATATGTCCAAAGTATCATACCTTGAGTCTGGTCATTTGTGCCTCAAGTTAGAATCATGGATTGACTGTTCTAAAATGCATGAGATACACAAGGTACCTACTTCTTCATAAAAACCTGAGCTAAAAATAGCAAGAAAGCCAAGTATATTTGCCAGTATATTTGTCTATAGCAGGGATCCTCAAACTACAGTCCCTGGGCCGGATATGGCCCATTGAAGCAATTTATCCAGCCCACGCATCATAAGAAGAGGGGCAGACTGACGGTGGCCTGCTGTCGGTGGTGGGAAAGTCGGTTCCATATTCCAGAGCTCTAGTCATAGGACTGGCCCATTGGTTGTCCTGGAGCAACTTGCTTGCTGGGGAACATCCAGGCAGCTTGTGGTGGGCTGGAAATCTCTGCCATAAAGGGTGGTACAAGAAGTGGTGCAAGGAGTAGCACAGCCCATGCCAGAATTAGATAAAAGTGCTGTTGCAGCAGGGTGGGGTGCACAGGCGGGCTGAAGCAGCGGTGGCGATGGCCGAAGTCTTACTGCAGGAGCAAAGCATCCCTGTACTTGCCTTTGCACAGCAACAGCATTCTGCCTTCGTTGTGGTACATTTGCACTCAAGGCAGCCCTCACCTCCCATTGCTTCGGGCTTGGAGCTATAAGCTGTGTTTGGAAAGCACTGCAGCGGAGAGAAGCAGCTGGGGCTGATTCTCTGGCACCTCATCTCTTGCTGGGTCTCGTGAATGCTTCTTCTGGCCCTTGTTGATGCTGAGTATGCCTTGGTCTCTTGGGGAGATGTGCAATTTGCTCTGTGCCCTGAGATACTGGCCTGACCTGCTCCACAGCTGCTTCCAGTGCTGTTGTTGCCTCCATGGTCTGCCCACTGCTCTTCCAGTGCCTTGCGCAGCACAGTGACATTTAGTGTGTTTCACACACTAGTGTGTGCCCCCAGTTTCCCTTCCTCCTGGAGCCCATTACGATGTGGAGACACAATGCAACCCTGTCCCATTCGCAACAGCAATGGCATCAACAGCTGCACAGGACAGGCCATTATCTCAGGGCAGAGAGCAGAGATAGACAGAGACACAGAGAGAGAATGAGAGAGAAAGAGAGAGACACAGAGAAGGAGAGGGAGAGGAAGAGAGAGAGTTACAGACCTAACCCTAACCCTATAATCTGGTCCCCAAACAGTCTGAGGGACCACGACCCCTGTTTAAGTTTGAGGACCCCTGGTCTATAGCATAGACTGGCAGGTATCCATAAAATGACCTAAATCCCTAATCTATGTACTTCTGGATAAAATGGTGTGTGTGTGTGTGTGTGTGTGTGTGTGTATTTGAATTGAATTGGCATCCTTCAATTGCAAGAGACTATGGCAGGGGTGGGCAAACTACGGCCTGCAGGCCACATCCGTCCCATTGGTCTTTTTAATCCGGCCCGTGAAGATTGGTACAGAATTAAGGTTTGATATGAATGATTGAATGATTGCATTCATTTGATTTTGACTTGCAATGACAGGCATTTCAACACCAGGTGGCGCATTAGGCGCAGTGACTTGATTTTGCGGAGATTTTGCAGTTTTTTATATTTATCGTATCTTGTGCTGACCCGGCCCGTCTGTCAAATTTTAAAAGTCAATGAGGCCCCCGAGCCAAAAAGTTTGCCCACCCCTGGACTATGGTATCATGCTATGAAACCGGTAACTGCCACTTCCTGTGTTGTTTCAATGCTGTATGCAAAGCTGGAGTGTCCTCTCCAGAGCACGAGGCCTGGGTAATTTAATATGGAGGATAAACTGTTACCCAAGCAACAGATCCCGCCTCTCCATGCCATTGAAATCGTCTAATGGAACAGCAGAGCCAATACAATTGGTTCCAGTTGTGTCACAGGAATTACCAGAACATGATTGTACACGAACTGCCAGTTAATGTCAGTTAAATGTTTCCCTTGCAAAATGTCTTAAGACTTAGCCTAATTTTTAACAAAGTTTCTTCATAGCCTATAGAATTTTCTTTCTACTGTTTAATAAAGGCCAAAGCAGTTGCAGTTCCAGCATTGAAGCAACAGATAAAGTATGCACAAGTTAACTTTCAAAGGCTGAATCCTTTCTAGATAGCTATGAACCGGAAATCTAAGGGTATCCTATTGATCTTTGATGGATTGATTGTTTCAGACCTCGAACACTATGAAAATATTCTCAATATAACACATAAAATGAATTATTTCTCATAGAAAATGCCTATGGGCTCTAGTCATTTTAGAACAATTGTTTCATTTTTCTTAAATACCTAAGTTTGACTTCTTAGTTGCATCTCATAATATTTTAATGAGACAGGGAAATGGTAATATATACTTTTAAAATTCTTACCATGCTCTGCTGGATTAGATTCATGAAGTCTGCCTATTGTATTATTGTCCCTTTGGAAAAAATAGTCCAATGCAGTGACAGACTGGGATTTAATGAGGCGTTCTGAACTGTGTTGATCAGATTCCTTATTTGAAACAATTAAAAAAGACAAAAATAGGATCATAATTTGGCCATAACTTATTGAATATCTTCCAACTTGAATCAAAGGAATTTTCTATGAAGAATGGCTTTAAAAAAATTCTTATGAGCTTTTAAAACACATAAAGCTAATGGAACTCCAAAACCAGCAAAACTACCTATGTCATACTAAATAATGTATTGGAATTGAATTAATATAGTATTTTCTTAGGGACATCTTAGAAGAAGATGAGAATTTTTATAGGAGGAAGCACAGTTTTGGGGAAACTACATTAGTATAACTAACAAATAAATACTGTTTAGCCACATATAGTAGCTTTCATTTGTGCAGCAAATAAATTAAAGATAAAATAATTTAGAATAAATATTGGCTTTGTTATATTAATTAAAGTGAGATATAATATGCATAAGCAGAATTCATTTTCAGTTACAGTTTCAAATTAATTTGTTTTAACTACTTTCATAAATGAATTTAAAGTATATAGTGATTTTATAAACTTAGGACTAGAGCATTATAATTTATATTCTTTTTTAAAAATTGTACATCTATACAAGATTAATTACTACTTTGTCTAGACATTAACTATCTATACTATGAATAAGACAAAGAGACAACTATCTATACTATGAACAAGACAAGTGAAAAGGGTAGAATCGTTTCTTACATGAAGCACATCTATATTCACTTGGTGAAAATTACGGGATCTAAGTTCTTGCATTCTTTTAAGATTTTCTTGATATTTTTCTTCAGCCAACTGTCTGAAAGGAGAATACTGGTATCAATTGTAAACTGTAGCACTTCAAATGATTTTTAAAAAACATTTGATGTGTAAGAATGGAATGTAAATAGGCATGAGAAAGAAACACAAACACGTTGATCTGTTAATTCTTAATTCTGAAATGTTGCGGAATGACCTTGCCATTTCAAAAGAATATTAAATCTCCATTATTAAATAACTACATGGTCTTAAATATCAGAGTTATTTTAAGACTCTTAAGTATAAGAAACTAACAACAATAAAATAATACAAAACTGGATGCTTAAACCTGAAATACTTCTATCCTTATATAGTTCTTCAAAGCTGAAATAAGGATTCTAACCATTGGAAACCTAAGTGTTCCATACTAGCAGGCTTGTAGGCCGGCATTCCTATTGGTCCGGAAAAGCCGGGCCGTGATTGGACAAAACTAAGCGTTCTGATTGGTTCTTATTCGGCTGCCACGATTGGGTAAAAACCCAACTCTCCAAAGCAGACTGATGGCTAAAGGAGACATCTCCCTTGCCGACGCCATAGCCGAAGCCACCGCAGCCGAGGCCACCCGTAAGTCAGCAGCGCAAATGCGGCGTTCAAACGGAAACGACCGCCAACCCACCAGCGAGACGGCAACAGCAGCACCCACCCACCACGGCGACATCGAATCCCCCTCTGACAGCGAAGAGGAAGAAATTCACAGACTTCAGTTGGAACGCGAGCGACGAGACCGGCGCGGTCATAAGTCAAGTTACCAATGTGCCGGCTGCGGAGGGAATCACCCGCATTCCGAATGCAAGTTCCTGGATGCTGTTTGCCGTTTTTGCGAAAAACGAGGGCATATTGCCAAAGTATGCCGTAACAAACGAAATTCCAGCCCCCGATGACGGGGAAACACCCCAAGAAGAAGAGATGGCACCCCCACCATAAACCGGGACCGCCATAATGACAGCCGATGGAACCAGGACAGCCGACCCAGGAAGTTCGTCGAGGCACCCAGAAGAGAAGAAACGCACCAAACAGTCACCATCGGCCACGCTTCATCAATTGACGCACGAAAGATACGTGTGGAGGTCAACATTGAGAATCAGCCTTGCACCATGGAGGTAGACTCCGGTTCCTCCCTCTCTATGGTCTCCTGGAGGACCATCAAAAGACTAATTCCCAGCATCTGCCGCCAAGAGCTTAGCAACCAGAAGCTAATATTAAGAGACTATCAAGGTAATCGCATTCCGGTCGTTGGCACTGGACATTTTCAAGTCTCATTCAGAAACCACACCACCATCCTACCACTCACAATCGTCGATAAAGACAGACCCAGCCTACTCGGGTTGCAGTGGTTCGCACCATTGGGGATCGAGATGGCAGGCATCAACCACACAGAAGATGGAAACTGGGAAACAACACTCATCCAGGACTTCCAAGAAGTTTTCAGTGAACATCTAGGCAAGTACAAGGGGTCCCCTATCTCCTTTGATCTCAGCCCTGACATTGCTCCCATCCGTCTCAAGCCGCGCCGAGTGCCTTTTGCACTCAAGCCTAAAATAGACGAACAATTAGACAAACTAATAGCGCAAGGCGTGTTAGAACCCATTGATCATGCCCGTTGGGAGACCCCAATTGTCACCCCCATCAAACCCGATGGCTCCCTGAGAATTTGTGGTGACTACAAGGCCACCCTCAACCACACATTGCAGCAGAGCGCCTACCCGGTGCCAGTAGTCCAACATCTCCTGCACTCACTAGGGGGTGGCAAGATCTTTGCAAAGCTCGACCTGGCTCAAGCTTATCAACAACTGCCAGTCGATGCTGAAACCGCCGAAGCCCAAACAATAGTGACACATAGAGGGGCGTTCAAATGTAACCGGCTCCAGTTTGGGGTAAGCGTCACACCGGGCATTTTTCAAAGTCTAATGGAGAGATTGTTGCAGGGAATTAAAGGCGTCAAGCCCTATTTTGACGACGTCCTGGTAGCAGCCCCTACCCAAAAACAATTGGAAAAATGACTGAGGGCGGTCCTACAGAAATTCAAAGATGCTGGCCTCAAGGTGAAAAGGGAAAAGTGCCAATTATGCACTGAAAGGGTTGAATTTCTTGGCTACCTCCTTGACAAACAAGGAATTCACCCCACAGATAAAAAATTGAAAGCCATCAAAAACGCCCCCAGACCAAAGAACAAAACGGACCTCCAAGCCTTCCTCGGACTCATTAATTTCTATAACATTTTTCTACCCCAGAAAGCAACTGTTGCAGAACCTCTGATAGACTCCTTGATAAAAAGGCTTCCTGGATATGGGGACGGCGAGAAGAGCACGCTTTTCACCAGATAAAAAACCTTTTGACTTCAAACGCAGTCCTCATGCAATACAATGAAACGGTACCTCTGACTGTTGCGTGCAATGCATCGCCTTTCGGGGTTGGTGCCATCCTGAGCCACGTTTTACCAAATGGAATGGAAGCCCCCGTTGCATTCTTTTCCAGAACATTGTCCAAGCCAGAGAGGAACTATAGCCAGCTGGACAAAGAAGCCCTCACCATCGTTTCAGCAGTAAAGAGATTCCATGAATACATTTATGGTAGGACATTTTCCATTATTACAGACCATAAGCCCCTACTTGGCATATTGGCGGGTGACAAACCCACTCCACACATCTTGTCACCTAGAATGACAAGATGGTCTGAATTTCTTGCCGCTTATAATTACAAATTGATACATCGCCCTGGCAAGACAATCTCGCACGCTGGTGCCTTAAGCCACTCCCCCTTGCCAGACTTGCAAGAGGACCCAGCACCCACATTACCAGTCTTGCAAATTGAAACAATCCCCATGCCACCAGTAACCGCGCAAGACATCGCCCACGAAACTAGGAAGGACAGACGCTTGGCACGAGTTCTCAGCTGGGTGGAGAGGGGATGGCCAGAAACCGAGCCAAACAAACTTTTTAAACCGCTTAAAAACCGGCAAACTGAACTCTTTTTGCATAAAGGTTGTGTGTTGTGGGGAGACCGGGTAGTAATACCAGAGACACTACAGAAAAAAGTTTTAGACTTGCTGCATGACGGGCACCCTGGTATTGTGCGCATGAAAGCCCTGGCCAGGAGCTACGCTTGGTGGCCAGGCATGGACAAGCAAATTGAAACCTGGGTCGCCGCTTGTAACAGATGCCAAGAGACTCACTCGGCTCCCCCTAAGGCCCCACCATTAGAATGGGAAACACGCAGAGGCCCTTGGTCGCGCATCCATATTGACTACTCAGGGCCAACCAAGGGGCACACCTTCTTAATCACAGTTGACGCTTATTCAAATTGGCTCGAGGTGAGCACAATGAAGACAACCACCACAGAAGCTGTCATCAAGAAATTAAATAGACTTTTCGCAACACATGGTCTGCCAGATGTTATCATTTCTGCCAATGGGCCACAATTTACCGCCTTAGCTTTTGAACAATACTTGGCAGACCGCAGCATCCGACACGCATTGACATCACCAGCTCACCCGGCGGCGAATGGTAGAGCTGAACGCATGGTTCAATTTACAAAAAAAAACTCTGCACAAAATGGAACATGGCAACATCCACGAGAAGATCACCAGGATGCTTCTTCTACAACATATCACACCAAATACCACCACCAACAAGAGCCCAGCAGAGCTATTAATGGGCAGAAGACTCAGGTCACCTCTAGACCGCCTGCACCCTGTTTACACTCCAGAAAAACCCCTTGGTTCCAGCAGCAAGCACCGTGCCTTCAAGGTAGGAGACACTGTATTTGCCAAAAACTTTACAGGGGACCCACTTTGGACCCCTGCAAAAATCACCCAAGTCACAGGCCCCCGCTCCTGCCGGCTCGAGACCACCGATGGGAGGTCGTGGAAACGTCACATTGACCAGCTAAGATCCAGGCTGGCTGCTTCCCCCCTCATAGACTCTAATCAAGAAATCAGTGGGGGGGGGGGACCTCAAGTTCAGAAAATGAACGAACATCTGTACAAGTAGAACACCCCCCACAGACATTAAACAAAAACCAACAATACTTACCAGCTAGAAGGGAGTCGTGGCAGATGGGCACTTCGCCTGGAAGCAGCGGCCAGACAAGCTCCACCAGCCCAGAGAGCCCAGGCGGGAGCAGCAGAGCAAACGACTCAACCGACCCAGAATCACCAGGCGGGAGTTGCCGCCAGAGGACCGGTTCACCCTTCCAGGCAGTTCCATCTTGCAGCTTGAGAGTGACGCAGAGCCTGTCCGAACCCGATGGTGAACAGAGACACTGTGAACTGCGCAAGTCTAGTAGGCAGGTACAAAGACCCGCCTACTTGCGTGATTATGTTACCCCGCCCCTTGGACGGAATCAAGAGGGGAGGGGTGTTCCATACTAGCAGGCTTGTAGGCTTGCATTCCTATTGGTCCGGAAAAGCCGGGCCGTGATTGGACAAAACTAAGCGTTCTGATTGGTTCTTATTTGGCTGCTGCGATTGGGTAAAACCAAGCGTGGCAAGCTCAAATGCATGTCATAGGCTGTCTAGCCACAGCCAGCTCTATAAAAGGAGCTGCCTCGGCTGGGAGTCTTGTCTCAATATCTGGTTTCCTAATAAACAGCTGTTGTCACTATTTCAAGTCTCGTCTCTCCTTGGGACCCACCGCCCAGACTTAACACTAAGGGTTAGAAGAAGCTGTGAATGTAAAAGACCAAAAGGCAAAAAGCTGCTAAAGAATTAAAAAATAGCTTGAACTTCAGAAAACATGCTTCTATAAGAAACATTTGAAAACCACATGGAAGAACACACTGAAATTCTTGGGTGTGAGTTTAAAGAGAAGAGGAGAAAAATAAAAACAAAACAAATCTACTGTAGATTCAGGCATTCCCATATCTTGTCCTATTTTAGCATTGCTATGACAACGTGCATGTCAATCAGTTATATCCAAATTTTGTTCTAATGCAGGGGTGTCAAATTCAATTTCACTGATGTCTGCATCAGGGTTGTGTTTGAGGGGGTGTGGCCATAGTGGG